TATACAAAAAGATTATACAGTAAATTCATAATCAAACTTTATTGCATCCCGTCAACTTGAAACATGAAAACAACAAAAATAGATTAGGGAAATAAACTGCTGCATATTTTTGGTGGGGATCAGCAGTGTTTTCTAGCGCTAATATTTAAACTTGAAATTGTTTTTATACTAAAATGCGAATGGTTCCGTTGCTGAAAATTTTTCGATCTCATATGACATATATTTTATATAAACAAATTTGACCAAAACCCATAATCATGGGTAGAGTGGACCGCTGCCAGTGTCTCTCTTTCCCAAACAAAAGGAAATGATATTAATTTGATTGACCGTTCTCAAATGCAAAATGATACCGAGAATGAAATCGGCCGCTCGCTTTTCCCATTCATTCACGGCTTACGAATTGTATAAATAAGTTTCGATTGATTACATCAATCAGATGCTGTAAAAATCTCTTTGGGTTGCGTTCGGGTCGATACCTAGTATTTCGGGGTAAGGGACAAGGGTGGTAGTTATTACTTATTGAATAAGCTGAAGTTTATTGAATCTTTATTGCCGAGTACAGCTGCCTTTGGGTAGTTCTTCTTAATCTATTACAATTGTAAATAAATGGGAAAAGCGAGCGACCGATTTCATTCTCGGTATCATTTTGCATTTGAGAACGGTCAATCAAATTAATATCATTTCCTTTTGTTTGGGAAAGAGAGACACTGGCAGCGGTCCACTCTACCCATGATTATGGGTTTTGGTCAAATATCATCTCTTTTTGATTATTATGTCAGGGTACTTTATAAAGTCGAAATATAAACTGATATCTTCATTAATAAGGAGGAAGTTTCAACGATTTCGAAATTTTTCCTTTAAAAACATTTCCTTGTGTTTAGGGAAGCATATCGGTCGATCACTGACTGAATATGCCACTTAATACTCATTCAAGTTGGCATTAAATTCATATATAATGACATTAAACTGTCGTGGCATTAAGCAGAATTTGTTGGAAATCACGAATGAGCAAAATTCTCACCTTTCGCACGTGCAAACTTTGAGCGGACATTGCGTGCGCATCCAATATTGAATCGCCGTAACTTTTTGCATGTAATTGTTTTATATATAGCTTGATAAGCATGCAAAGTTTCAAAGTATTTCAAGAAGAACTGTAATCACAACGGCAATCTAAAGTTGACAGAAAATGACGAAAACAGCAATTTTCAGTGATTTTAGCAATTTTCTATCAATTTGGGCGTGTCCCCACGTGTGCAACTTTTCGATTTTTAACTTTAAAACTAGCCTAATGCACAATTTATACCTATAGGAAGCAGAACTGAGCTCCACAACCCAAGGCATGGCCCAACACCAGAGAATACTAAATCGCAAAATTGACGTTTTTATAAAATAATTCTTCAAAAAAGCACAAACTTCAATGACGAATATCTTTATGAAGGAGCAAGCTACAAAAACTTTCCGGTAGATTTTCAGAATGCTTGAACAATTATCTAAGGTGAAAATTTCCTCAGATTTTGAATACAATTACTCCTTAATGGTTTAAAATTAATTTTAAAAGTTATTACTTTGTCAAAAATCAAGTTTTAAAAACGGTTAACTTGATGACGTCATCAAGGGGTGTTTATGACGTCAAATAATTTTTGTATACAATGTAAACTAAAGTGTAAACAATTATTTGCAAGACCTGTGGTCGGAAATGGCTGTATCTTTTATACTTTTGAATCTATGGACACTTAAATACAGGCTACAATTGACTGGCAAAGCGTCTATCCCTGAATATGTATCACGACAATCTATCGTAAAACAGGGGTTCTAGAAAACCCATTTCCCGATGCTCCTGAAACCTGAAACTTTTTTTGCAGTCGATTTGGTCAACGTCTAGACGCCCTGAAAAATTTCAGATCTCTAACTCAATTTTAACATGGTTTTTAAGGCACCTGAATATATGGCGATTTTGGGTTTTTTACCGAATTTCGTATACCAGTGCTGGCGAGTATTTTATGCAAATTTCTTAAAAATCTCAACATAACTATTTTTTATTCCTGTCATCTTTGACATCAAATTATAATGTTTTGAAATAAAAATAAATCTGCTGAACGACTTCCGATGAGTCTTAATGCCTGGAAAACTCCTGCCGGAGGCGGCGGCCTTCGGCCGCCGCCTCCGGCCGGAGTGCACGCTTCGCGTGCACAAAAGAGGCTTGTATTTGTAACGTGTACCAAAGGGGGTATAATAGTAAAGGGGGTATAATAGTAAAGGGGGTATAATAGTAAAGGGGGAACATAGTATACCCACAATAAATGCAACGGTCGTGCTTGCCAGCACTGTGATTTGCGATCCAAATATTTCAGATATGAAAATTTGTGAACACACATTTGACAGATTGGAAGAAATTTTTGCCCACAAACCAATTAGTCAGTCAATTAATGATGGTATGAAACCAAATTGGCCAATTGGGGTACTGGTATTCAAAATCTCGAACAAAATTGGAAAATCATACTGTCCCATACTCTGTCCCATTTTCAGTTTTTGAAGCTGAAATTTCCAGGGCCGAAATTTTACAGTTTTGAACGAATTTTTGACCCGCAACCAATTAGTCAGTCAACTATAGATGGCAAATTACACGATCGGGGTGCTGGAAGTTTGATTTGGATCGGAAGAAGCTCACAGCAGAAATCTTAACAAAACGAAATGTTGTATTTTCATTGACATACGTTGCATGCCACTTTTCGCGCGCGATACGAAACATGTATCAATATTTTCAAAATCTGTCCCATTTACAGATATGAAAATTCGTGAGCACACATTTGACAGATTGTCCCATTTTCGGTTTTTGAAGCTGAAATTTCCAGGGCCGAAATTTTACAGTTTTGACCGAATTTCTGACCCGCAACCAATTATTCAGTCAACTATAGATGGCAAATTACACGATTGGGGTGCTGGAAGTTTGATTTGGGTCGGAGGAAGCTCACAGCAGAAATCTTAACAAAACGAAATGTTGTATTAACAAAACTCTGTCCCATTTTCAGATATGAAAATTTGTGAACACACATTTGACAGATTGGAAGAAATTTTTGCCCACAAACCAATTAGTCAGTCAAATAATGATGGTATGAAACCAAATTGGGGTACTGGTAGTCAAAATCTCGTACAAAATTGGAAAATCATACTGTCCCATACTCTGTTCCATTTTCAGTTTTTGAAACCGAAATTTCCAGGGCCGAAATTTTACAGTTTTGAACGAATTTCTGACCCGCAACCAATTAGTCAGTCAACTATAAATGGCAAATGACACGATTGGGGTGCTAGAAGTTTGATTAGGGTCGGAAGAAGCTCACATCAGAAATCTTAACAAAACGAAAAGTTGTATTTTCAAAACTCTGTCCCATTTTCAGATATAAAAATTTGTGAACACACATTTGACAGATTGGATGAAATTTTTGCCAAAAAACCAATTAGTCAGTAAATTAATGATGGTATGAAACCAAATTGGGGTACTGGTAGTCAAAATCTCGAACAAAATTGGAAAATCATACTGTCCCATACTCTGTCTCATTTTCAGTTTTTGAAGCTGAAATTTCCAGGGCCGAAATTTTACAGTTTTTACCGAATTGCTGACTCGCCATGTGGGGTGATTCAGAATCAACGTTCGAAAATACATCGAACCAGGTTGGATTTTACTGTCGTGGCCCTTTTAGAAAAATCTCGAAGATCGAGTCTTAAGTGATTTAGCACGCTCGTATATCTTAATCTTAATTCATTGAATTTCTGATCTGCAATCAATTATTCAGTCAACTATAGATGGCAAGTTTGATTTGGGTCGGAGGAAGCTCACAGCAGAATATCTAATCCCGGCACTTTCCAACTATTCTCACTCAAATACCCGGACGAATCTATAACAATTGAAACACTGATATAAAACTGTAAGATATCAATCTGGTTCTCCCTGACAACACGTCTATAATAAATAAGTTAATTAAAAGCTGACATTTATAAAAACCCTGGCCAATAAAATCAGCAGTCAATAAATTAAACTTAATGTTGTTTTAGTGAAAATTCGCCATTCAGTTAAACAGAGCTCGAGAAAGTTCTTACTTTTAGGCAAAATCCACCGTGCTGTTTGCCCAGAGGCACATATTAGGTGCGGTAAAAAAATCGAAATTATGCGGTACCGCACCCGACTATAAAGGTAAAATGTGCGGTAAGGTGCGGTAAATTTTTACCAATTATGCGGCAAATGTGCGGCGATTTTTTCGAAATTTATGCGGTTTTCTTTTGCATTTTCTCAAGGACTTTGGAAATTCTAAACGTATAACCGCCGCTCTTATCACAAATAGGTCTGTTTATGTGTTACTGAGGGTGTAGTTCTTTACTAAGACCATAATTGAACCTATGTTGAGATTCAGTTATCTAAGAACAGTGACTTGATCTGGTAGATATCAGGAATCAGGATACAGTTATTTGAAGACGCCTCTTGATAGAGTCGATCAGATCCCATGCGTGATCGCAAATATGTGACACGCTTTTTGGCATTGATCGTCAGTACTTGTGAACCATTTGATTCAAGATCCATTAAGCCAACGCTACAACGAAATCTTCTATTATCACCTACGAATGATAACTGATACACTATAATCGAAGTACGGTAACGATGAGGGTTCCATAATGGCCTGGGTCACGGTCCCGAAAGGGCCTGGGTAACGGTCACGAAAGGGCCTGGGTCACGGTCCCGAAAAGGCCTAGGTCAGGGTCCCGAAAGGGCAGGAGTCACGGTCCTAAAAGGGCCCGACATATTTTGGTTTTTACACTCGAAAATCTTAACGCGAAAATTTCAAAATTATGCGAAATTACGCGGAAAATGCTAGATTATGCGGAAATATGCAGATAGTTACAAAATGTGCGGAAATGTGCGGAAAACAATAAATTATGCGGAAGTGTGCGGAAAACGGTAAATTGTGCGATCCCGCACCCATCGCACCTAATATGTGCCCATGTGTTTGCCCATAAAACGTAAGCCAAAATAAAATTTACCACCAAATCTTCATAACCAACATATTGAAGAAAAGTAGTAAATGAAAGTAGGAAAAATGAAAGTTAAAATATCGGAATTAAAAGAAGATGATCCTCAACTCAGTCTTCACGATCAGCTTGATCTTTCTTTGCGTTCTTCTGATAGAATAGCTTCCGTCGCTCTTTGGCTTTCTCTCCTTTCTTCACGTTAATCTTAGCTTGCTCTGAGAGGAAACATTGTTATTGTAATTAATCAACTGCCCCCAGGAGTGATAGAGATGAGTGTTTGCTCATGCAAATCCTTGTTATTGTTCAGTTATTTACAACTTCAGCTGGCACTGATTAACGTTGTACAGTAGTATAGGTTCTAGATGAACTTTGAGTGTATCGTTAACAATAACAGACGTATTATAGTCAACGCCAAGCGGAGATAAATCTAAAATGTAAAAGCTCAGTCTGTGTTAAATTAATCTTACCAGCAAGATATTTGACTTTCTCCTTGTTCTTCTTCTCGTTTTTCTTCTTATCAGTCTCCTTTTGGGCAGTCAACAGTTGCTGCATCAGAGATGTTAGCCTTCGTTCTCCTGAAAATCATAAATTTTAAATCTAAGAACTTTTTCTGATCAAAAGTTTAGTCCATAGTTTTAACTTTTTAGCGCGAATCTGCTAAACTTGAAATGATCTTCAAAATGTTTTGAAAATCGTTTACCTGGCTCAGATACTACAGCTCGTTTAGTAACATATAACTGTTTCTTTCTCTTATTCTCAACTTTCGGCTTTGTTTTGAACGGTAGGTTCTTTTGTAGGGATTTGGAGACCTTTAGAGGTCTGAAGACCTTTGTCTTCCGTTCTATTTCTTTATAGAGCGAGTCCTGGTTTAGAGAATTTAAATACCGAATGAAGTACATTTTTATTGACTGAACGAAAAGTATCAGTACACCTGATGTCATATGAACGATCAGTGTTATATTGCTGACATATTCTGATAAACAAAAAAAAAATTCACGTCTGAATACTAGGCCCGATCAGTAAAAGGTACCTGTTTGACAGGAATGGTCTCTCCTTTCTCTCTCCGCAGCTCCGCTACAGTTCTCATCCCGGCCCATGTCTTGTCCGCAGTGAGGAGGTTAATAACAGGCGTGTAGAACTTGGGGATATCCACACTTACCCAACATCTCAAGAACACTATATCTGACATCTGGATCTGAAATATGATGATCGGGGTTATTAAAAATCATAAAGCTCTTATCAAAGTTGCGATGGTTTTAACTGGCCTTGTAAATGTGATGAGCTCTGGAATGTTATAAAAACTAAAAGTAACTTGTCCTCGAATAAAACTATAAATTTAACTAAAAGTACCTTGTCCTCGAATAAAACTATAAAAACTAAAAGTACCTTATCCTCGAATAAAATTATAAAAACTAAAAGTACCTTATCCTCGAATAAAACTATAAAAACTAAAGGTACCTTGTCCTCGAATAAAACTATAAAAACTAAAAGTACCTTGTCCTCGAATAAAACTATAAAAACTAAAAGTACCTTATCCTCGAATAAAACTATAAAAACTAAAAGTACCTTATCCTCGAATAAAACTATAAAAACTAAAAGTACCTTATCCTCGAATAAAACTATAAAAACTAAAAGTACCTTATCCTCGAATAAAACTATAAAAACTAAAAGTACCTTGTCCTCGAATAAAACTATAAAAACTAAAAGTACCTTATCCTCGAATAAAACTATAAAAACTAAAAGTACCTTATCCTCGAATAAAACTATAAAAACTAAAAGCACCTTATCCTCGAATAAAACTATAAAAACTAAAAGCACCTTATCCTCGAATAAAACTATAAAAACTAAAAGTAACTTATCCTCGAATAAAACTATAAAAACTAAAAGTACCTTATCCTCGAATAAAACTATAAAAACTAAAAGTACCTTATCCTCGAATAAAACTATAAAAACTAAAAGTACCTTGTCCTCGAATAAAACTATAAAAACTAAAAGTAACTTATCCTCGAATAAAACTATAAAAACTAAAAGTACCTTGTCCTCGAATAAAACTATAAAAACTAAAAGTACCTTATCCTCGAATAAAACTATAAAAACTAAAAGTACCTTATCCTCGAATAAAACTATAAAAACTAAAAGTAACTTATCCTCGAATAAAACTATAAAAACTAAAAGCACCTTATCCTCGAAGGAAGCTCTGTATGCTCCTGGTGGCGCAGAGAGGGCACGTTTTACTTGACCCCTAATTCCACTGACAGTCTTTATCATGGCTCCTTCGAACTTGGAAACCTGCGAGTTACATAGGTGAAACTAAGTTACACAAATCATTAAATAACGTTATATAAACACACTCCAAATTTCAGTGAGCTGTACTCGAATCGGATGGCTAAATTGAAATTTGTTACTAAGTTTTGATATTCGAAATCTATTATATATTAAGAAACTCTCTTTAAATATTGTTTCATACATTTTCAGAGGCGTTAAGTTTCACTGTCAAAGTAGGGTGTATTAATTGGAACACCCCTCAACCCCCCCCCCCCCACCATTCACACTTCCCAGTGCTGTCATCACTTGCTAATTGCTATAATTAATAATATGATATCCTGCCATTTTAATCTATTGATCATTTAACCTTGTAACTCCGTTCCCTTTGCAAACCGTTCAGCCGTTACATTTTATGCAGCTTCATATTACAGTCCGGTTGTCTTTTCTAAATTTGTTCGAAATCCCTTCCTTTTTTCGTATAAATGTGATTGTTTATTTGACACATAATTTGACACATAACACTAACAGTATCTATTGATCTGGAGGGGATTTGTTTAAAAAATATAAGTGATACGAAAAGTTGTTTTAGCAGGAGCTTTCAATTTAATACATGTGTAAATCGTCTTCAGCTGATCTCTTGATCTCCCAATATCTCTCTCTCTCTCTCTCTCCTGATCAGTAAATATTTCCACGGTGTCACGTGACATAACCTTGAACGTATGTAGTTACAAATATAGTTCCTGTCATATTTGCCTCGATATATGTAAAATACTCGTTTTGTTTATCTAGTGTGAATAAGCCTCATAGTAGAGGACTATAATTATTGATCTTATAACACTAACATTTCAGATACGGTTAATAAATAAAATAATTCCAAGCAGTCAACATCAACAGTTGAACGAGCAACATGGCACTTAGCGATTCTTCAAAGGACAAAGATACAAATATGAAGCCGAATGCCGAGGAGAAACCTTTTAAATGCAAACTGTGTGAATATCAGGGCAAGAAGAATGGTTCTCTCATACAACACATGCTTACACACACTGGAGAAAGACCTTTTAAGTGTGATATGTGTGATTATAGGGATAATTTTAAAGGCTGTCTTGATAAACACATAAGGACACACACTGGGGAGAAACCTTTTCAGTGCCAAAAGTGTGATTTTGCAAGTGCTCAGTCAGCAGGATTGAAAGTACACGAACGTATTCACACTTTGGAAAGACCGTATAAATGTACTCTGTGTGACTACGCGGCCAAGCAGAGTAGTCATCTCGCGGGACACATGCGCGCACACACTGGAGAACGGCCGTTTAAGTGTGGTTTGTGTGATTACAAAGCGAAAGCGAAGAGTGGTTTAAAATTACATCAGAGAACTCACACTCTGGAAAAACCGTACATTTGCACATTGTGTGATTATCAAACCAAACAGAAAGGTACACTTAAAGTTCACATGCTCACTCACACGGGAGAGAAACCCTTCAAGTGCAAAATGTGTGATTTCGCAACGATCAGTAACAGCGTCTTAACAGTTCACATGCGGATTCACACGGGTGAGAAACCCTTTAAGTGTGATTTCTGTGATTACTCAGCAGCACGATCAGGTAATTTGAAGGAACACCGGAGAACCCACACCGGAGAAAGACCATTCCAATGTGACCAATGTGACTTCTCTGCAAAGTATTCCAGTAATCTGTGGGAACATAAACTTATAGACAAAACTGAGAAGCCGTTCGAGTGTGACGCGTGTGAGCACAGAACAAGGACTCTTGATAAAATGAAGTTACACAAAGTTTCTCATACCATCGCGCGAAACCAGAAGTGTGATTTATGTGAATATAGGTCCATGTACCGTGGTGCCCTGAAAGTACATATAATGCAACATCACACCGGAGAGAGACCTCACTCGTGTGACGAGTGTGATTACAAAACAACAAGGAAACAGACTCTTAAGCAGCATAAGAAACAAGCTCACAGCGATGTCCGACCACACGGGTGTGATCAATGCGAACACCGATCTAAAACTAAATCGGCCATGGAATTCCATAAGCTAATCCATGGTGACGAAAAACCATGGGTTTGTGATTTATGTGACTATGCCGGAAAAACCAAATGTTGTTTGAAGCAACACAAACAAACACACACTGGTAAACGACCCCACTCCTGTCTTCAATGTGATTACACATCGGTCACTAAGCCATCCTTGAAAAGACACATGATTTCTGTACATTCTGTACATTCTGATACTGGAAAGCAGTTTAAATGTGGGTATTGTGATTACAGCGTAGGACTGGAGAGCAGTCTTAAAGTTCACAAAAGAAGTGTGCACACGAGACCACGTTATATTAATATAGCAGCTAAAAATGGTAAGTTAAATCTTAGTTGGATTGGTTTTGGTTCGGTTCCTTTCGGTTAGGTCCGGTTCAGTTAGGTTCGGTTCGGTTCATTTTATCCAGTTTGCTTCTAGTTTTTGTGGTGACAGTAAATTAACATATCAATAAGTACTAACAGGGTGTTTCAATTTAAGTATTGGCAACAAAGACAGAAAGAAATATCTTTTTTTTTCACAATTTTAGATATCTTATATTCCAAAAAATGTAAAATTCCTTATCGACCGATTATAACCAGGGGAAGAGCAGACAGTGAACAATGAGTAGATTGAGAGAAAAGAAGAAAGATAACCATAAGCTAGATGTTCTGACATGATCCGAGCAACGAACCCCCGCTGTTTGTTCACTAAATATGGATATTCAACCTTTGAAGAGCATCATAACGAGTGTCTTACTGAATGATTGCTATAATTTTGTTTAATACACTGAATTGAACTCAGTCTATCTGTTTTGTATTGTAACTATTATATCATTTAATTTATTATTCCCGCATATCAATTTTCTACAGCAAATTATTTCCTCAAGTGAGAGATCTGATCGCTCTAGAGCAAAACAAACCACTAAAAATTCCAAACCAATTACTTGATTACTCCTAAATGCAAATGAGATCTGTCCTGAAATCTTGCAGCGTTAGTGGTTAGGAACAATAACTACACATTTTTAGCACACACCTCTAGGATAGAGGAAAACATTCCCTTCAGGAAGGCGGTGTTCTTAAATATCTTGTAAGGGGTTCCGGTAAGTTTCAACTTCTTGACCACGTCAACTGTCTTATCAAGTCCCAGAATAACCCCTGTAGCTACAATACGGAACGAGGACGTCTTCTTATCAGTCGCACCCTGAACAGGCAAGTTAAATTTGAAAATCAGGAGTCATTTGGCTTACACTCAAATATCAATCAGAATTATCGAATAAAAAAATCTAAATCATCCAGAAATACATAAGATTGTCAACTATCCTGGAGATATAAGATACACTCTATAACTACAAGAGCAGTTCTACTTCCCTCCCAACCTGTGTAGCAATGAAGGTGGTATTGGGAGGAGCCAGGGGCCCGTAGAAGGTGGCGTGACAGTGCATGTGTTCAGGAGTGTACTTCAACATGCGCTGCCTCATGTTGTGATCCTGTATTGAGTAGACTGGACGGGTCTGGAACCTTCTCCATCCCAGCGAGACCACTATTGGGTCCTGAGCCTTTAGTATCTTAGGGTACCACCTGGTGTGGAACAGTTTAGTATCTTAGGGTACCACCTGGTGTGGAACAGTTTAGTATCTTAGGGTACCACCTGGTGTGGAACAGTTTAGTTCTCGGTACATCACGTTAGGAGATTTACAGTTTTGGTAATGCTTTTCTATATTGATTTATCAACACAAAGCGACTTATCAATGATATTTGACAGATTTCGGTAAATCTTGGATTAACCGAGGAAGGTTCCACGCTAACACTACAAAAATCACTAATTCTCCAAACCTGTGGCGTTTAGTCCTGGTCTGAAGTAGGCCCATCTGATGCTCGAGACTAGCAACTCCTCCCACTACCAGAGGGTAGTGGGGATCTAACATGTCCACCAGTTCACATGGCATGTCGGCTATTGTTACACGGACATATTGACCTGCTCGGAAACCTTCGTATCTGAAGGAAGGAGACACAAGGTTTAGAAAGGGGATGGATTAGACGTCAGTCGTCTTGGGGTTTTAATTAAATCTCATTGGTTAACAGTCTAAAATGAGTTTAAAAGTTTATTCGCTCGATCAGGGACAGTATCTAACTTTCAACATCGTTATGATACTCAACGAATGCAATATATTGAAGAAGACTCTATTTAAGTCTATATCGTAATGTATAAGCATGATCTCTGTGATAACAGAGTATCTGTAAATAAAGCGGTCTCTAACCTCTCTCTGTAATAATAGAGTATCTGTAAATAAAGCGGTCTCTAACCTCTCTCTGTGAGCCTCATCAGCGAAGAACTCCTTGTTCGTCCTGGTCTGCGCGTCTGCCTCCTCTTGCAGATCTGCAAAATACTTGGACTCGTCCCCGTTCTCGTCGTAGTCAGTGTCAAACATTTTCTTTAGGTTTTCCTTCTTTTTCTGATATTTGGACTTCTCTTCTTCGGGGGTTGTTTCTTCGTTTTCAGGCGTTTCTTCTTCTTCTTCTTCGATGACTTCCATCTCTTCTTCTTGTTCTGGCTCTGCCTCCAAATCCTGAGAAAATAGATATTTGAAACATACATTTCAGCTGAGTGTAACGATTTGAATACAATGTTGATGAAGAAAACTTCAAGATCGACTTTATATTCTATATTTATCACTTATCAGTTACATAACACTAATAGACCCAAGTTAAAGCAAACCTCAAATTCTCCGAAGCCCTCATCCTCCTCTCCCTCCTCCTCTCCCCACTCCCCCGTTACAAAACAGTCCCTAATATCGGCCCTCTTGTCCGGATCCTCCCACTCGGACACTCCCGCCCACATGTGTCGTGTACAGTCCACTGTGGTTCGTGTCTCCGCAAGCAACCCTGTAAACTGACCTGAGCTGTCCGTATCTTCTCCGTAGATTATCTGAGATTTTATTATTTATCATAAAAATGGTAATATTGTTTATTGGTGCGGCAGTGACGTTTTTAATGTATGACATCATGTGACTCTCGTGCAATACGGACGTTGCGAGATATCGTGCACCATGTTTATTGTTTGGTCTAATTACGTCTTACTTATTGCGAGTTCGTGTTTGGATATTATTTGATGGAGCAGAAATGAATTATGTACTTTTTACCGATGAGTTGAATTCCTTTTAATTATTGACGAAGGTAACGTCTTATTGTAATTGGCATGATGTATTGAATGGCTTATTTTTAAACTATTAAAAAAACGGTCGGTTTTTTACAACTATTTTCCTCCGTCACTGGGACAACGCGAACGGGCGTTTTATTTCTTAAAAATATCAGAATTAATAACATGTATAATAATCAAACATTGAAAAACATACAGTTCCCATTCTATTCATCGTCATAACAAAACAAAAAATATCTTCTTCTTCACAAATAATATACAGTTCACATTATTCGGGGTGTAATATAATATCATCTTATATGTGATCAGCTTGATTGATTGGGAATCGAGCGGTTTACTCGATTAATGTTTACTCAAAATTATAATACAAACAGTAATAGATAGAAAACGTTAAAGAATTCTTTTTTTTTAAAAACCCTCTGGAAAGGGCACTGCACACGGATTATCGCAAAGTACACTGTGATCATGAAGTACTATGAACTACAGATTTAAAACACAACGCTTCACGCTACACATGATATTACACATCCATAATATCGATCCTATAGGTTAAGAAGTTTAGACTTACACTGAACAGCTTGGACTATTGTTTTTAAAATTTTGTGCAAAATTTTACCATCAGTGATTAATGATTTTGGCCGGTAACTCAGCGCTTACAGTGATTATGAGTGCGCGATTGAGATTAATGTATGGAAAAAGAATTTAGCGGCAGTGAAATGCTTGCTTATCTACGCTAAGTGGGGGTAGTTATGCGAGCGGTTATTATATTGGTAGTCAGTAATTGCAAGTTGTTATTTAAATTTGTGTCATTTAGTGTAGTTTCTATGTGCTGGGTTGTGTGATTTTCATACTGCTCCCTGTTGCAAGCCATTAATTAGACAATAGACTTATATAATGTAATATAATATCATAGGATATATTATATACTATTTATTCAAAGATTTAATGTCATTAAACCATTATGAGCTTATGTTCAGTAATATGTTATAATTTACCTTTCTAGTTCCTAAATGTTGTGATTTTACGAACTCTTTTGTCGCCGAAATCTTTTGTCACAGTTACGATACATTCCAATGCAGTGTTTCTAGAGACCATTCCCGATGGATGCAACGATAAAGACACGAGATGGTTGCATAGAGACGGTTGCAGCACAAATCCTGACAGCCAATAGCAGTGTGTTTTCAAACCTAATCAATGAGCTTGGGTTTAAAGAGATTGAGCTTAAAGACTTCCATCCCGATGCAGTTCGCATTTTTCTGACGCTAATTAAAGAGATAGAGATCGACGATATTGAAAGACAACACTTCAGAGAACTTCACAAACTTTCTGTAGTTTTTGAGGTTAAATGTTTCATCAGACGATGTCGAAGCTGGCTTAGTGATGAAATAGAAAACTTAGACACTGATTCGACGTTTACAGATTTCCACTACATGTTTCATGAAAGCTTGTTTATTCAACTAAAATGGAAAATGGAAGACTTCACAGACTTGGTTATAGAAAAGCGAGAGAGGTACGATTTTTCGTCCTTTGTGTTTACAAAGCTGACAAACCCAAACTATGAAGCAAACGAGAAAGAAGAACTGGACATTATTTTGAAGCTCTGCGCAGGAAGGACCCAAGATCTACTGAGAACCCTGATCCTATGTATAACTAATGATCAAACCCTGAGTGATAACACGAAATATTTGCTGGAAAACATTAACTTAGCGTTATGTTTCGAACAAAGTCGAGGTCTTTATCATAAGCTTTTCGATGCAATATCGCTGATACAAAATTTGACGTCCACTGATCTCAAACTGATGTTTAAACTTTCGATAGAATCTACAAAGAAATCTTTCTTTAGAGAACAATTAGTTCCAAAAACTACATTGTTTGATCCAATTGCATTGGAACTACGGGAGGACACATACGAAACATTGGACGATGCTTTGCAGATCGTTCGATCCGGGGGCGTTCTTAATATGTTTGGTGTTTTGGACCTGTTGGTTAAGGTTACAGCATTGCATCCTCCTGATTTCGAAGAGGCCAAAAACTTTGTCGATTCTTTATCAAAGCATTTCAAAGAACAGCCTTCAAGAAGAGCTTCTAAGAGGTATGTAGATAGAATGGTGGTGGCTATGACGTCTTCAAATCATCCACAGAAATTTCGAGGAGTGATGCTGTTGGAAATGATCAGGGACAGTGAAAACCTCGTTGTAAAACACGAACATGTGTGCTTTACACTTGATTTTCCTCCAGCTATGGATATGATGGCGTCTCCGATATTCAAAATCACGAGATACTGCATCAGTTGGACACCGTTGCCAATGATGTTAAATGCTGTTGTCAAACTCAAAGAGAAGGTTTTTTGTTATTTAAGATTAGAGAATCCCGGATTTTTTGGCTGTAAAGAATCCGGTGAGTGTGGAATAGCAATGATGATCTCTACTGCGGAAGACAATAATTTGAAATTTAAGTTCAGTACCAAAGATGAGCATTACAAAGATTCTGGTTATCATTTGCACGACTTTTTATCTGCAGAGAAGATGCACTTTTATTTCGAAGTATCTGGTCCGGCAACTGATGGCATTCAATTCACGGTCGCTAATCAACTGATGGGACGGTGGTCTAAGTGGTGGTTTACAGACAACAGTTATAAAAGCTCTTTTCAGCGACAATTTAAAAGAATTAGGATAGAATGCTATGTTAAGGACCATCTAGTTGCTCTCTGACTTTACATTTTGATAATATTCTTATTGTTTTTGTAATGAATGTCACAATTTTACATGTTTCTTATAAAATGCTGTTCAAACTTAAGTTTAGTTATATTCTGGTCGTAATTTTGTTTATTTAAGTAGAACGTTTATGCAAACCGGTCAAACAAGTTTAAATATAAAGTTATTATCCGTCTGAGGGACATACAAATTAAAATTGAAGGAAATTGTGTTGACAGATGGTTATGCCACTTATTAGGAAGAAGCTTCCGAACATGACTCTGGAATAATCTTCAATATAACTCGGATATCTCTATTTGTAATTTATTGAAGCGTACAATTCTGAAGATTCTTACCGAGTGAAGATTCTTAGCATTGAGTTGCCGTTGAATGAAGCTCTCCTTAGCTTTGTTAGCTATGTTTCTTTTCCACCTGGCAGCTCCCACAATCATCCCGTCCTTCTCCTCCTCTTCTTCCTCCTCCCCCGACCCGTCAGCGTCACTTTCTTCATCTCCGTCTTCTTCCACTTCCTCATCTTCATCATATTCATCATCTTCCTCTGCGCTCTCTTCATCGTCATCGTCATCTTCATCTCCTTCTTCCACATCATCATCGTCATCAAAAACCATCTTCCTTCTTTGGCCGTCGTTGAATTCATCGTTCTTTATCCGACCTGGTTAAATTACATTACTAATCGTGGCGAAACATTGACCAATTATTTAATGGTATCTTATTTAATTATTTAATGGTATCTGTTCGATTACTGTATTCTGTAAGGAATGCAACTGAGTAGTTAGTCGATAGATTATAGATATTAAAGATTAGGAAGCCGCGCTAATTTGTTTTAGCAATTTAAAACTTATTATCTGAAACCCATTCTATCAACAAACCTGTGGAACCAGAAAATATGCTGATCTCCGTTGTGCCGAGCTTCTCGTCAAGAGTTTCTTTCTGTTGAGCTAACTCTTCAATCAAGTCATCGCCCTGGAGTTTTCATACGGTTAGTTTCTCGGTACAAAGAATTATCGGGGAATTTCGGTAGATTTCTAGAAATCAGGAAAAGCAAGCCAGATAATCATCTCCCAACCACATTTTTCTTTTGTCGCTCAGTAGTTTGTATGTAAATGGCGTCCTTATCGTAGATAAGACCACCCACTCCCGCCATGGGGCCGTAAAGTAACCTCTCCTTCTCATTCAACGTCCTGAAGAAGTGCGTGTCTACAAATGATAAAAATGAAATAACAGCAATCTCAATATTTACTTCGAAGCACAGTTTTACAGGATGAATTGTTTTGACGACTATTTATAAGAGTTAAGACTGCTTTGAAACATTAGAAAATGTCCAAGAAATTGGTCTGAAGATCAAGTTGGTGGGTTGAAACACTCCCTCTATTATAAGTTGTACCTGCGACGAGTGGTATTCTCCTTGCCAGGAGGAGGACAGGGATCAGCAAGGAGGGATATGTCTGATAACACGTGATCCCCTACACCGCACACGTGAACACTTGTGTCACTCTTCATATTAGCTCCTGAAACAGGGAAGTTGTTAGTAACGTGCTTCTAACGGGCAGGGGGGGGGGGGGGGGGGGGGGTAGCTTTAATAAGATCTCGCAGAATTAAAGTAATCATATAGAAATCATACCAAGTGAACATAAACAATGAAAATGAGCGAAGAATAGTAATAAGTTATAATTACTGACCCAGATTAGAGCCACAGTTACAATTGTTAAGTTTTAGTTTGAAGAACCTTACCTCGAACCCAGCCATATAACCCCACACTCCTGTCACATTTCTTATTCTTGTCTATCAGTTCCGGGTCTGTCATGTCCTCCACTCTGTCCACCACGATGTAGGGGTGTGTGGCTCGCCACGATAACACCTGGTTACAAAGTGGTTTTTTGTATTAACACCTGTTTATTAGATGATATTGTTTTGATGATACTATCTCAGGCATTTGGCTTGACAATTGCCAAATCCAGATTTCAACGTATTTGATATTTCAATATTTTACTGAGTGCGAAATAATGGAATTACGAATTTTGGTAATTGGAAAATTTGAATTTTGAATTTAGTCTATACCTTGAACTTCATTACAGAAATGAACCGCGCCAAGTTTAGAATATCTCTCTTGTTGTACAAATCAAAGCTCATTGAACTCAGGTAGAAAAGCTTAGCTCCTTGGTGGACCTCCGTCCAGAAGCGATGTTTCAGGGTCCGTTTTGTCCTGTTCATCGCTTTGTTAGCTTTCATCATGTCAAGATGGGTCAGCACCCCCATTATCCGAGGTAGCCCGTGAGCCTGCAATGTTTGGTAATTAATTAATTAGTAAAACTAAAACATCAGTAAAACTTATATGTCAAATAAAAGGCTGGAGAATACTGATCTAGATGGTAAGGAAAATGTACCCTACCTGGGCTATGTTTAGAAACTCGAAAATCTCCATCTCGAATCCGAAGTTAGCGTCCACCATCAGCAAGACTAAGTCAGCGACTTTTGCCACATCTATCATCGAGCTGATATCATTAGGACACTCCACAAACGTGCATCTTCTGTTCTTACCCGTCACCACCGTCAACGGACCCTGTAAAATGTGGTTTGTTGGGAAAATTTCAGAAGTCTCAGGTTTCGACCGTTTAATTTCGTAGGGAATTCCCTAGAATATATATATAATATTCCAGAAATTATGATATCAGCTGTATTAACTCATAATTTAAGCAAGAAAAACAATATTTTCGAACACCATAAGAAATGGTCGAATCTTAACAAAGACCCTGCTCGTCTGCTCACAGTACCCACCTTAACTTGGTTAACATTCTGTTTGGTATAATGCTTGACGAGGGATTTAATAAGGGTAGTTTTACCACATTTAGGAGGACCCACTACTGCCACCAAACTGGGAGGAGGGTCCACAGGAGTCCGGTCTACCTCCGGGACTTTGTGTTTCCGTGTTTGTTTGTCGAGAGCTCGGTGCACGATACGTGCTGTTTTGTTGACTGCCTGGAAAATATTCGAGTTTAATTGACTGGTTTATCTGAATCAAAGCAATATTTTTCAGAAGAAGTTGATTAACGAGGTGAGAACAGTTATTTTATTGATATACCTGAAATGAGAAAGCTTTCGGGTTCCTCTTTCTTGCATCTGTTTCAACTGTGTTTTCTTTTTCTTCCTTTTCTAGTTTTCTTTTCTTCTTTTTGTTGAACTTCGCTCCCGCATTTCTTTTCTTGTGACTCCTCTGTGGATCCTCGTCCATGGCTTATGATAAATTAAAATGTAAAGATTCATCCATGCAATTCAAAGCAATGCTAATTTAACTGATAAAAGGTACGTGGCTTAATGTTAAAGTCAGGTGAAATCAGAAATTGCTTGTGAATAGTAGGTGAGATCAGTAAAACAAAGTAACGCCAACAAACTACAATGCATATTGCGATATTATTAAATCATCTAATAGACATAAAATTCGATAGAACAAATACAAAATAAATAGAAAATCATCCTAGGTTCTTTGAACTTCTTAGTAAATCTGAAATGTGTTAGAGATTAAGCGTGAAGTAGACAGTGACAATAATCGTTTCTTTTATGGTTAAAGCCGATGATAGATTCGTATCGACATTACAATAAAGTTTAGATAAGGGCTAAGGCTCTAGATATCAGGGAATGCTCATAAATATTTAAGGTTCTTGGTTCTATGATCTATCGCAGCGATTACGCATTATGAATTATCATATTCGATTCTGGCGCCACGCCGTGAGATTTATTCCCCTACAAGCGCGCGCGCCGCGCTAATCAACCTTACAGCGCATTATTGTGTATCATTATGTTTCAGCGCGTTCCAGAATAGTGATCCTAATATTGTGACCGAATTGAAGTAATAAGAGCTAGTGCCGTCTAGAATTATCGAAAATTATACATGATTTCGTGCTTGAGAGGCCCGAAAGCGTAAGTCGTTGACCGGTTCGTTGAAATAGGATTAAATCTTAAACTAACCTAATTAAGGAGCTCATTTGGAGGGGGTATCTTTACTCTGTTGGGCTTGGTTATTCAGTCTAGCTGAAAAGAAGCATTCAAGTTAAGTTATAAAAGTAAATCTATGCTATCGTAATAAAAAACCCAGAACAACGCAGAATTTATAGTCTTAAATTACAGCGATAAAAAGATACTTCCAAGTTAGGAGTTAACATCCTGCATCTACCTTAAATCTAACTTTACACCTACACCTTACGGCCTACTGCACATTTTAGATACATGTATGTATGTACCCTGTGTAGATGTATCTAATAAAGACTGTTAATACTCACTTCTCCTGTTGGCACCGTACCAGACTCCTGCTAAGAGGAAGGACCATCTAGATAACTTGACTACAGGTGCTACTTGGGTCATGATTAACACTTCACCCTGATATTATGTGTAATTAGACGTTCAGCAACATGCCTGCTATCATATTATAATAAATCAGTGGCAGTAAACTCGGAAAGCGTTTGGTGAGCTGGGTTTGGATTTATTGTACAATGAAATTTATGACCGTATTAGAATGAAACAAGATTGTGAACTCATATTTAGCAATAAGTCAATGTCAGATTATGCGCAGTTAACAAATAACATTGAATGTTGTGCAGATAATAAGGAGTCAAATGGTTGAGACAAACGATTCCAATCATTTAAATAAATATCAATTCTTTAAGTTTAAAACAGTATTATATGAGTTACGATATTCATAATTTAAACCATTCTCCCAACGTTTCGTTAGCCCATAGCTCGCGTCCAAATCATAAACATTAAAAAGAGTCGGCATAATGTGAACTAGAACGTTAAAAATATCACAGATTTCAGATTCCTCATCTTATATCTGAAAATATAAATTTTGTGAACACATATCAGCAATACAGCCCCAAATATATCTGAGGGCCTATTATTATCATCATATAAACATCATGTTTCCACTACAGCAGTCCGTTCACTAAGCTGCATGAACAAGTCTCTTACTTGAGACGAATGATTTGGCTGAGGAGCAATAATCTCCAGTGTCTCTGTCACGTGATCAACCTCTAAATGAAGGTGCGCTGTCCAGAGTAACCGCAGCACATGCCTCAATACTACCTCATCCTCACAATACTTGTTGAGAAAGGAGCTGAAGACTGCTTTACAGAAATCTGCCTGTTTCCACTCAGTCGTGTATTGGAGAAAGTAAGAAACTAGCACGTGCATGAAAACCTCGTCTAGGGTGGAGATAGAGTCAGGTATTAAGGGGAGCACCATTTTAAGGCGCTCCATATTCCTGTTTTGAGCTAGAGTCAGTACGTAATGCATAACGAGAGTTTTTATAAGAGTATCCTTGCTGGTAGAGGACACTAGGTTTGATATGACATTGTCCCTGTATTTGGATCCCATCTCGTGATGCATGACATCTTCAACAAGGCAAATCATGAGAAGAGGAATGTTCTCTTTTAGTGTGGCCTTGTGTAGTTTGGGTTCATCTGTTGAGTCATCGTTTACAATTGACCAAGCATTGATTCCTAGGTTGATGAATTTCAATAGAAAATGTAACTTCTCTTCGTTTCTTGGGAGATTTTCTTTTTCTATCATGCTCTGCAAACAACTGAATACCTCCATACAAAATACATTCAACACATACGGATCAGCTAGGATAATAGCTGTGTCACTCAACAGTTCAGTCTTCTCAGAAACTATCTTTAAATAAAACTCCTTCAGTTTTGGCTGAATCTTGTCCTGGATCCTCTTCTCGTTCACAGCATATTGGATGTAAAACATGAAGTCATGACAAGGGTCCTGCTTGTAAATGTCCTGTATCTTACAGTCGTGAAATGACATTAACATGTCTGAGCGCAGAGTACAGAAATGTGATGTTTTGTTCCGCTGGTACAGGGTCCGCACAAATATCAACATCATCTGATACAAAGGAAAAGACAGACCAATCATTTCCTTCAGTTGCTGTACCACTGGTGATTCTCTGCGTTTGCGCGGTGCAATAGCAAAGAATGGTGCTGCTGCGATAAGACTCTCGCTCCCTTTATGTAACTCAACATCCTTCTCCCAAATGTACTTGTTAAGAATGGGTCTCACTTCATCTCCAAATATTCCCTGGTGTTTCTCCCAAACTTGTCTCCTCACTTCAATAGAACACTGTTTGTAAACCTCCGGGAGTGCCGCTACTTTTTTCAAACAAGTAGACGGAACAGGATTGAGCAGCTTCATTATCTCCAGAGCGACTGGCATGAGTTCCTTGTGTTGTATCTGTGAAAATGCTTGTTTCAGCATCTTTTCCAAGGACTCCCTAGGCATACCCTCCAGCTTTTTGGTTAGTTTACTCTGAAGTAACCTGATAACTGAGTGATGGAACTTGACTCTGCTTATACTGTGGAGATCGAGAAGGGGGAGGACTGGTTCAAGTGAGCCTATTTGTAATCCGTTTTCTATTTGGAACTGGTTGATAGCTTTGATTGGGTTCTCGCAAGTGTTGAACATTTCTCGGATGTAGTTAGCATCTGGAATCGCTACTTTGTTGGACTTTTTAACCGCGCTGCCGCTACTGGTGCTTGCCATATTGATAACCTGTCAACAGTTTGAAAGTTAGATTAGTAATGTACAATAGACAAGGATAAATTGTTGAGATTCAAAACCCCATGAAATTTCACCAAATCCATTAAAATGCCCTTCCAATATTACCGTATTTTTATTTTTAGCCAGAATAAACTGAACTTACAGCGGATGAAATCGAATACCACTTAGATAACAAAGCATTAATTTTCGGTGAGTTTACTTCCAACTTATATTATCTTACCGTTCGATACTTTTATAACTTGGTGAGTGCTAAGCTTACTTAATTAACTTTGATTCATTACTAACACCTGTCTCCCTTAGATATCTTGTATTCATTTACTAAGTCACAGATTTCTGTGTCAGGGAGAGAATGAAGCTGTGTTTACTTCGGAGAACGACTGAGCATGTTTTGGAAAGTAGTAACAGCAAGTAACAGCAAGTCTCAAGCAGCAGCATTAGAATTTTTTGAACATCAGAGCGACAACTTCCCGACTTCGGATGGAAAACGCAACCCTGATACATAGACAAAAGCTATAACTGTTTTATATTGTGAACGTAGTCAGAACACTTTCTTATTCAATTGTTAATGTCAAATTTAAATTATTTTCTTGGAAAATTTTGATTTCTGAGAAATTAATTATTTTGATTCCAAATCCAATGATCATTTTTGATTCATGAATTCTGACACGACAATAGCTTATTGTTTAATAGGGGAATTTTCTTTCTTCGTATTACATAATTGAGTAAATATAAACTTTTCTGCATAAATTAACGTTACAAATTACAAAAGCTGAAAAATATACAAAAATCAGTTTTAAGGCAAACACAATAATGTTGCTTCAGAAGTTGTTTATACAAATGTGGCCACTGTGACAATTTTCTGGAGAATACTTTAATAAACAATCTCAACATAATATAATTATCTAAAACACCGATTTACAAAACATTTACAAAACAATTGATCTAGGTATGTACTTTCTAAAATCTAAATCTCCCTACACTCGCCATGCTGAAAGGTCACAAACTTAGCTTCATTAATATTTGCAACTTCTAGAGCATATTTCAAGTCCCTTGGTGGTGCCAGATAGTGCTCTTTTCCTTGTCGTAAGGTACCCCAGTGGATCCCCAGAGATAATTTACTATTCACCTCATCATGAACTTTAACAGCTTCTTCAGGATTCACATGCTGACATTTTAGGTACTCCCTAGGTTCATATGCTCCAATTGGGATCAGAGACAGGTCAAAAGGTCCACAGTGATTACCAATCTGTCTGAAGATCCTATTATTGTAGCCAGTATCACCAGCAAAGTAAACATTCTTTTCACTCGACATCACCCGCCAACCGCACCATAGACTGTAATTCATATCAATCCCTGGCGCTATTCTCATAGACCAGTGTTGCGCTGGAAGACACGTGAACGTCAACTCTCCTTCTTGAAAAGTGTGGGATTTTTCTTCCCACCAATTCATTTCGTGGATACTCTCAGATCGGATACCTGACGATTCGAACCAACTCTTTAAACCAAGAGGTACAAACCATTGTGATGAAGGAAATCTCTTGTTTATATCAATAACAGAATTATAGTCAAGATGGTCGTAGTGGTCGTGACTGATAACAACCGCATCCACTTTATCAATCTCCTCAAGACTCAATCCAGGTTGACGGAATCGTTTCCTTTTCTGGCTGAATACTGGATCAGTCAGGATATAGATTCCTGACATTTTTAGTAAACATGAGGAATGTCCAATCCAAGTGACTGTGTTCTGGCTTTTTGAATCAACATCATCGAAATTCTTTTTGTAAGGCAAGGTCTGATCGATTTCTTCCTCTGTGGAAGGCAAGTTTTTGTTGTTTTTTGCACGGGCTAACTTGAAAAGTTCAAAAGGAGATAGGAACCTAAACTCAGGAAATGGGTTGTTAAAGTAGCCACTAGGATCCCGCTTGATGGAGCATTTAGATTCAGCTCCTTGATCACCACCACTAGAACAAGCCATATCTGGGGGTGGATAAACGGTGAGATAACGAAATTCATGCTAATATTCAATGTTACAATGAATAGAACAATCAAAGTCAATACATATCGTAAATTTGTCAGCAAGAAAGTTCCACACTCATATTTAGTCTATTGTTTGTCACCATTAGGAGGCAGCTCCTCGTGAGCTGGTGTCCTCGTGACACCACGTGACACCTCGTGGTCTCTGTGGTAATTCCCTCAGCCACGTAGCTGCTTCTTCTTATCTCCTCTTATCTCTTCTCCATAATATCTTCTTCCATCTTCGCAAGTCCTTCATCAGTCTTCACTGCTCTACAGTTACAAGTATAACAATTCTTAATATAACCTGAGTACGTAAGAATATTCCACTAGTTTAACATGACCTGATCTTACTGCATTTTAGCAGTTAAAATACGCTAGAATACGTAGGTATGCAGCCAGGTCTGTAAATTACCATGGATGTCCTTAATTCCTCGTCAACTCCTGGAATCTGTATTAACCAGTTTCCCAGTTCTACTAACCAATTGGATGACTGTAAATTGTACAACACCCGGGTATTACCAGATATACGGAAGTAATGTGTAACACATCTAATGTTAACAAGGTAAATCAGTAAAACAAAATTACCAGCTGTTATCAAATTTATGTCAATTATATACATAAGTAATGAAAATCTTCACAACGAAAAACAATTAAGGATTTAAATAATTAATTACCGTAACATAATTACATAAATCCATAAACATTTATAAAGATTCAAATATCACAACTACAACAATATAACAATAAGTTTTCTTTTGCATTCCTTCAATCATGACAAGTAGTTGATTGAGGGTCAGTAAGAGAAGGTCAGTTTCTCTACAGAGGAACAATAAAATATAATCCATAAATTTTAAATAGATTTAAACATCACAACTAAATAATAATAAATTGTTAGTTATAAGCTATCAACTCTTAAACAGCGCAAGCACCCCAATCGAGTAATTCCAATACTTTGATAAACGATGAAATAGGAGAAATCATGTCGGTTTTTCTGAAATCTGAAATTTTTTGTCTAGGTTCTTAAAAGTCCCTTCATTAACAGTGTAACAATTAATATAATTATATAAATCCATAAATTTTAAATAGATTTAAACATCACAACTCAATAATAATAAATTGTTACTTATAAGCTATGCAACTCTTAAGCAGCGCAAGCGCCCCACTCAAGTACATCCAATACTTTGATAAACGATGTCCGGACAATTAAACGATGAAATAGGAGAAATCAAGTCGGTTTTTCTGACATCTGAAATCTTTTGTCTCTAGGTTCTTAAAATTCCCTACATTCCCCGTGCTGGAAGGTCACAAACTTAGCTTCATCAATATTAGCAGCCTCTAAGGCAGCTTTCAAGTCCTTTGGTGGTGCTAGATAGTGCTCCTTTCCTAGTTTAAAGGTACCCCAGTGGATCCCCAGAGATAATTTACTATTCACCTCATCATGAACTTTAACAGCTTCTTCAGGGTTTACATGCTGACATTTTAGGAACTCCCTAGGTTCATATGCTCCAATTGGGATCAGAGACAGGTCAAAAGGTCCACAGTGATTACCAATCTGTCTGAAGATTCTATCATTGTAGCCAGTATCACCAGCAAAGTAAACATTCCTTTCACTCGACATCACCCGCCAACCGCACCATAGACTATAATTCTTAAAAATCCCTGTTCTCGTAGACCAGTGCTGCGCTGGAAGACACGTGAACGTCAACTTGCCTTTTTGAAAAGTGTGGGATTTTTCTTCCCACCAATTCATCTCATGGATACTCTCAGATCGTATACCACGCCCTTCAAACCAACTCTTTAAACCAAGAGGTACAAACCATTGTGAGGAAGGAAATCTCTTGTTTATATCAATAACAGAATTATAGTCAAGATGGTCGTAGTGATCGTGACTGATAACAACCGCATCCACTTTATCCATCTCCTTAAGACTCAATCCAGGTTGACGGAATCGTTTGAATTTGCTGGAAATGTTTTGGACAGCTGAACAATACTGACTGAATATTGGATCAGTCAGAACGTAAATTCCAGACATTTTAAGTAAACATGATGCATGTCCGATCCAAGTGACGGTGTTCTGGCTTTTTGAATCAACATCATCGAAATTTTTTTTAAAGGGCAAAGTCTGATCGATTTTCGACTCTTGAGAAGGCAAGTTAGTGTCGTCCTTACTCCTGAAAAACTTAAAAAGGTCAATAGGAGACATGAGTTTGAATTCAGGAAATGGGTTGTTAAAGTACCCATTAGGATCCCGCTTGATGGAGCATTTAGATTCAGCTCCTTGATCACCACCGCTAGAACAAGCCATATCTGGAGGTGGATAAAAGGTGAGATAACGAACTTCATGCTAATATTGATATGTTAAGCGTGGAATTGATCATATTCAAAGGATATTCGAAGGCCAGGTTGCACTGGTATAACATAAACCAAGAAAAAAATTACAGAAATAAGAAATAATGAACATCTTAAAGATCTGATAAGTAGTCTAAAAAAAGAAATACAGATACATCAACTTTTAAAAAAATTAAGAATCAAAGATAATTCAATTTTCATATTAGTACAATCCATGCATATTATGAAAAAAACTTTCAATAAATTCTCAAATTAAAGCTATGTTACAAAAAATAATGGTATCTTATATCCAAACAGTTCAATACCAAGACAAATAATGCAGTGGGGACAAATGATTTTAGCACGATAATTATAGTGGTACGATGGTTCATAATCATAAGCAATTAATATTCAATTTTTGAAATCTGAAAAGGATACAACTAGTCTCTAGGTTCGTATCTAAAATTCCCTACACTCGCCATGCTGAAAAGTCACAAACCTAGCTTTATCAATATTAGCAGCCTCTAAGGCAGCTTTCAAGTCCTTAGGTGGTGCCATATAGTGCTCCTTTCCCAACTGAAATGTCCCCCAGTGGATCCCCAGAGATAATTTACTATTCACCTCATCATGAACTTTAACAGCTTCTTCAGGGTTTACATGCTGACATTTTAGGAACTCCCTAGGTTCATACGCTCCAATTGGGATCAGAGACAGGTCAAAAGGTCCACAGTGATTACCAATCTGTCTGAAGATCCTATTATTGTAGCCAGTATCACCAGCAAAGTAAACATTCCTTTCGCTTGACATAACCTGCCAACCGCACCATAGACTGTAATTCCTATCAATCCCTGGCGCTATTCTCATAGACCAGTGTTGCGCTGGAAGACACGTGAACGTCAACTTGCCTTTTTGAAAAGTGTGGGATTTTTCTTCCCACCACGTCATTTCGTGGATACTCTCAGATCGGATACCTGACGATTCGAACCAACTCTTTAAACCAAGAGGTACAAACCATTGTGAGGAAGGAAATCTCTTGTTTATATCAAGAACAGAATTATAGTCAAGGTGGTCGTAGTGATTGTGACTGATAACAACCGCATCCACTTTATCAATTTCTTCAAGATTCAATCCAGGTTGACGGAATCGTTTCAATTTGTTGGAAACGTTCATTTGGATAGCTGAGCAATGCTGACTGAATACTGGATCAGTCAGAACGTAAATACCAGACATTTTTAGTAAACATGATGCATGTCCAATCCAAGTGACAGTGTTCTGACTTTTTAGATCAACATTATCGAAATTCTTTTTGAAGGGCAAAGTCAGATCAATTTGATTGTCTTCAGAAGGCAAGTTGGTGTTGTCTTTACTCCTAAGAAACCAAAAAACTTCAGTCATAGATAGGAACTTGAATTCAGGAAATGGGTTGTGAAAGTAACCACCATCCCGCTTGATGGAGCATTTAGGTTCAGTTCCTTGATCACCACCGCTGCTGGAACTAGCCATATCTGAGATGGTTTAACAGTGAAATAAGCAACCTTGTGTTATAATTCAAGTTTTAATATTGAAAATGTCATTATATATTTAAATGATATCTGTCATAATAACGCTTCACAGAACTAGTTAGTACTGGTAAGCAAGAACAAGACGAGGTTAAAGCATGCAATATTTAGTTTTATATAAACTAGTGAAAACATTACAGAGGTACAAATCACAAAAAACCTAAAACTTTATTCTCAAATATATCATCAGGTACACATTGCAGACCATTGTGTTACAGTTTTTATTGCGTAATGAGGGGGGCCGGGGGGCTACTCAAATTCAATAAGTTAATTTGTTCAAGATTGGGCCACTGAAGCTACTTATTATCTGTTGTAGTGTTGTAGCGTTGTGCCGTTGTAGTGTTGTAATGGAATATCCTCCAGAATACGCCAGTGTCATGACTTTTCTTCATCGTGACTTTTTTTCTTCTTTTCGTCTTCAGGTTTATCCTCGTCCTCTGGCTTTGACAACATGACAAGACTGTCTTGAATCATTGTGTTGTCAATCTTCCCCAGTTCTGCTATCACTTCCTCTTGTGATCCTCGACCTAGAATTAATAGAATTAATAAAATTAAATAGACAATGATTATGTTTCTTAAAGTCTTAAATAACTGACATTTCATTTTAGGCAAGGTTTGCAAATGAATTAAGGTATTTTTTCGGAAAATAATATTTTAACAATATTAGATGTACGGAGATGTAACAAGCACAAACCCTCTTTTATTAGCTCTTGGATCCTTTTTCGTTTGAGTTTCTCAGCATCTTGCCGGTCTTGAGCAAATTGATGCCAATACTTAATACCAGACTTTCCCTCGACACTGATCTGTGATGATTAGAGGTAAGGAAAAACCATCTATTGTAATTGTAGGTATAATTTACTGGCTATAATTTACACATTTTGATTGTAAATGCAGCATTGTGGAGGGGGGGGGGGGGGGGGCAGCATTGTACTTGCCACCTTTTAAAACAGGAAAGTTATCAAAGATTTTCTGAAAACTTAAACAAAAGGCAGAGTTCCCTGCTGTTTACATTTTTACATGATGATGTAATATTTTAAAGAAGACTCTAGAAGTTTGATACTGAGTACTTAAGAGAGCTTTGAGACAGATAACAGAGATATTTGCAGATCCTTGCAACACGCCTAATTAGTTAATTATAGACTATTTCATCTTACACACCTCCTGGATCATTCTGTAAACTTCCTTGTCGAAATAGTCCATCTCACTGTGGTCACTTTTAGTGATCTGAAATGGCAAGTTGCCAAGTTACAAGTTACATCATTAGAATACACATCATTTTAAATGATTCAAACAAAGCGCAAACAAAGCGCACACAATTTAATTTTCGAATTCTAACAAATCAAAAAATACTCTTAGATTGTTTAATCAATAGTAAAGAGATAAATCTAACTACTAGTACCTTTAGGGCTTACCTCTAATTTTCGGTAATTCTGAGAAGGAGTTCCTACAAGCTGGGCAACTCCATAAATAATCCCAACACTAGCAGAGAGTGGGAGTACATAAGTCTTGAATATTCTTTTGAACTTTCCAAATGCCTGCTTCGACATTCTCCTGTGTCAAATGCTCACATAGATTACCCTAAATTAATAGGTAAGAGTAAGATAAAGCACAGACAGTGGGGGGGGGGGGGGTGTCATGTCCGTCTATGTCCGCCTATGTCCTGTCCTTTTTGGATTCTATGAGACAACGGACGTGTTTTTTGGGACATTGGCGGACACGGACGGACATTGGCGGACTCGGACGGACATTGGCGGACTCGGACGGACATTGGCGGACTCGGACGGACATTGGCGGACCCGGACGGACATTGGCGGACTTGGATTGACATTGGTGGACATTAGCGGACATTGGTGGACATTAGCGGACAAACATTTTGAGGACTGAAGAGTACTGAAGAGTACTGAAGAGTACTGAGGAGGATGGCTGAGAAGGATGGCTGAGGAGGATGGCTGAGGAAGATGACTGAGGAGGATGACTGAAGAGGATGACTGAGGAGGATGACTGAGAGGGAGGAGAAGGATCAGGAAGACCCAGGAGGAGGAGGAGGAGGAGGACCCAGAAGGAGGACCTAGGAGGAGGAGGAGGAGAACTGAGGAGGATGACTCAGGAAGAGGAGGACTGAGAAGGAGGAGGACTGAGGAGGATGGCTGAGGAGGATGGCTGAGGAGGATGACTGAGAGGGAGGAGGAGGAGGAAGAGGAGGAAGAGGACTGGGGAGGAGGAGGAGAAGGACTGAGGAGGAGAAGGACCCAGGAGGAGGAGGACCCAGGAGGAGGAGGACCCAGGAAAAGGCCCCAGGAGGAAGAGGAGGACTGGGGAGGAGGAGAACTGTTGAGGACTGATGAGGAGGACTGAGGACGAGGAGGAAGAGTAGGAGGAGGACTGAGGAGGGGAGGAGGAAGAGGACTGGGGAGGATCAGGAAGACCCAGGAGGACCCAGGAGGAGGAGGAGGAGGAGGAGGACCCAGGAGGAGGAGGAGGACTGAGGAGGACTGAGGAGGAGGACTGACGATGACTGAGAAGGAGGAGGACTGAGGAGTACTGAGGAGGATGGCTGAGGAGGATGGCTGGGGAGGATGGCTGAGGAGGATGACTGAGGAGGATGACTGAGAGGGAGGAGGAGGACTCAGGAGGAGGACTCAGAAGGAAGAGGAGGAGGACTCAGGAGGAGGACTCAGGAGGAGGACTAAATAGGAGGAGGAGAAGGAGGGGGACTGGGAGAGGACTGGGGAGGAGGAGGACTGATGAGAAGGATGATGAGGAGGACCCAGGAGGAGGAGGACTGAGGACAGAGGAGGAAGAGGAGGAGGATGAAGAAGAGGAGGAGGACCCAGGAGGAGGAGGACTGAGGAGGAGGACTGAGGAGGACTGAGGAGGACTGAGGAGGATGGCTGAGGAGGATGACTGAGAGGGAAGAGGAGGAGGAGGAGGAGGAGGAGGACTGAGGAGGACTGAGGAGGAGGACTGACGATGACTGAGAAGGAGGAGGACTGAGGAGTACTGAGGAGGATGGATGAGGAGGATGGCTGGGGAGGATGGCTGAGGAGGATGACTGAGGAGGATGACTGAGAGGGAGGAGGAGGACTCAGGAGGAGGACTCAGAAGGAAGAGGAGGAGGACTCAGGAGGAGGACTCAGGAGGAATGAGAAGGAGGACTGAGGAGAACTGAGGAGGAGGAGGAGGAGGAGGACTGAATAGGAGGAGGAGAAGGAGGGGGACTGGGAGAGGACTGGGGAGGAGGAGGACTGATGAGAAGGATGAGGAGGAGGACCCAGGAGGAGGAAGACTGAGGACAGAGGAGGAAGAGGAGGAGGATGAAGAGGAGGAGGAGGACCCATGAGGAGGAGGACTGAGGAGGACTGAGGAGGATGGCTGAGGAGGATGACTGAGAGGGAAGAGGAGGAGGAGGAGGAGGAGGACTGAGGAGGACTGAGAAGGAGGAGGAGGAGGACTGAATAGGAGGAGGAGGAGGGGGACTGAGGAGGACTGAGGAGGATGGCTGAGGAGGATGACTGAGAGGGAAGAGGAGGAGGAGGAGGAGGAGGACTGAGGAGGACTGAGAAGGAGGAGGAGGAGGACTGAATAGGAGGAGGAGGAGGAGGGGGACTGGGGGAGGACTGAGGAGGAGGATGGAGGACTGAGGAGAAGGATGAGGAGGAGGACTGAGGAGGACTGAGGACTGAGGAGGAAGAAGAGGAGGATGAAGAGGAGGAGAAGGACCCAGGAGGAGGACCAAGGAGGAGGACTCAGGAGGAGGAGGAGGACTGGGGAGGAGGAGGACTGTTGAGGACTGATGAGGAGGACTGAGGACGAGGAGGAGGAGTAGGAGGAGGACTGAGGAGGGGAGGAGGAAGAGGACTGAGGAAGATCAGGAAGACCCAGGGGGAGGAGAGGGAAGAGTAGGAGGAAACATCTAAATGTTATTTCCATTTTTGTCCGTTTTTGTCCATTTTTGTCCGCTCTATTTTTTGTCCGTTTTGAAAATATAGGGTACCGAACGGACAAAAAACATGATCCCCCTATAACAGCAAAAATTGAACATTTTATTTATCAATTTAGGTGTCCATTAATGTCCGCCTATGTCCGCCTATGTCCGCCTATGTCCGTCTATGTCCGCCTATGTCCGTCTATGTCCGCCTATGTCCGCCTATGTCCGCCTATGTCCGTCTATGTCCGCCTATGTCCGCCTATGTCCTGTCCTTTTTGGATTCTATGAGACAAGCGGACATAGACGGACGTGACACCCCCCCCCCCCCCCCCCCCCCCCCCCCGACAGTAAACCAATAAAAGCAACATTGCACACAATCTTCATTACACATAACTATGAAATTGGTTCATTATTACTACCAAATCTAAATAGCTAATAATTTAAGTAGTTATTAACCGTCCCCTACAATTCATGTCTTCTTGGTGACAGAACAAGTAGAGATGTACCTTTAAACGAACAGTTATATAATCACACATGAAATCACACTGAAAAGACTGCCTTTTAAAGTTTACAATATACCCAATATACATATATAATATAATATAATTTATCAGAAAGTAACAGGTCTGATTCATTAGGTGGGTACTCTTCCATACAGCCGTTGACAGGAAATCCTAAATTTGACAACGCTGGCAAAGCAGCGAATACGTGGTGATCTTATCAAAGCTTTCAAAGTTATTAGCCGTTTGGCCGATTATGGATCGGGTTTGTTCGGAATGAGCAGATGCACGTGGTAAAATAGGTTCACTAGGTTCAATTAAATCCCAATTGAAGCATTCTATCATGAAGGCTCAACACCAACCTGACAATATTAACTGGCAGGACTTAAACTTCAACACTTTCCTATGAAAAGACCCCCATTTATATTTGTATCTTTTACATTTTACACCTGTCACTCACATCATATATACACCACAAAAGAAAAAAGATTGATTCAATCATTACATTATACACTCACTCCACCACACATGCACACAAACCATTGAAGCAGGTTACACGCGGGTGTAACGTTCACTTTATCCGAAGGGAAAAATGATACTTTACGTAACGCGCGATTTACGTCTTGGTAGCTAAATTATTCAAGCGCTATTTGTCAGAGCGACACAAATACGCGCGCGAGCGCTTGCGCGGCTCACCTATCCAACACTCATGTTTACATCGTATCAGGCAATGGTTCAGTTTAATTATGGTAAGGGCACAGCCTGTCAAAAACCCTTTTCGCATGATCCGTCGACACCGCCTGAAGGTGACTGCATAATAACGGATCAACGTGGAATCAAACGTTAATAAGCTTGCAGCTTCCGATGACAATGTATTCAACCTGGTGTCATGCTTGAATTGGTTTTGAACCTCTTCATTAGTCTATGTGGTAAGCGCCATGAGTTGGCACGGAATTTTTTGTCTCTGATTTTGATGGGTTTGGTGCCGGGAGTTGCCTTTAACTGTGAATAATGAAAATTCACTGTGTAGCACGATTCGTTGAGATGTATGTGGGCCTCCTGTGCATTGCAAAAGTGTACTATGGACGAAAAATGGTTAATTTATTGCTTAAAATGCCTATAACTCCTAAAATATGGAATATTTTGAAATAATTCTTACAGAATCGTAATGAACTTAATCAGACGCAACTTTTGATACCAAAATTATAATAATTGGAGCACCAAATTTTTCGAAAATTTGTTCAAAATTTTACACAAGGGGGGACCCTTGTGTTCAGATTAAAAACTTTTGAAAAAAAAATTCCTTTGAATCTTGGAATGTTGGTACTAAGGGTTTCGTCTCGATGAGCTGATTACAATATCATAATAACTATGTGATAATAATTTAAAATGTGAAAGTTATAGGCCAAAAACTAAAAATTTGCGCGAAAAAAGCACGCGCGGCGAACAAGCGCCGTGTAGCATTTTTTCCGAAAATTGCTGCACAGTGGATTTATTTTGTTCGCATTTTTGGGCGGCTTTTGGTGCCGGATTTATCGGGGTCGGAGAGGGAAGGTTCTGTGCTCGCGCTTGGCGCTTATTACACTGACTACATGCTTTTAATTTATTTATTATTGTTATTTGGTATTATGAGCTGATATGTATATATACATACGGTATCTGCAATTAAGCGTATAGTGAGCATATTTAACAATTTTTAAGCAATAATGTATTGCGAGCAGCTGTAACTTAAATATTGCATATTTATATAATTATAACTCAAAACTAAAATTTTATTGGAATATAGGGTAAACTAAGATAAAATTAATGTCAGACCCGTCGCCACTCTCAGCAGTCAACCAGGGCTCATAAAAGCTTAAAACAGCGCCTGGGTCCGTTCACCAACTGTGCTAATGTGAGTGGCGGTGTGGTAAAACCCATTTTAACAGCGTGAATATTTATCAAATACAAGCGCACCAGCTGCTAGCATACTTGTATCATTTAATTTTAAATCAAATTTATTCGGATATATATTTATTGATTATGTATTGAATTAGTGATAAATAATAAAATTGTCTTTTCTCAAAAATTGTCTTTTCTCAGTAAAAGTAGTACAAAGATTAAGAATCTCCATAGTTCTTTTCTTCCGGAAAGAGTTAGACCATATTGGAACAA